GGTAAAGAAAAAAAAAAAAAAAAAACAGAAAAAAAAAAAAGAGGGGGGGGGGGGGGGGGGGGGGGCGCTTGGAATTCAAACAAAAAGACATCTCCATGAAGCATCAACATGCGATAATAAAAACAAACACATGTTTCGGCACAAACATAAAGATTTGATTTCTGGCAAAAAAAAAAACATGAGATTTTGATTTTCGGCAAGAACAAACAAAACTCATCAACATCTTTAGTCAAAAAAAATTTGTTAAGGGTACGTACACGTGCAAAATTACATCCCACCTCAGAAAATTTCCTATTTGTTTATCTTCAAATAAATTTTGGTCTTGAAAAGACCTACGATGAAAAGAACTAATTTACTAATTTTTAAAAAAAAATTCGGGTCTTTGAAAGACCTAAAAGAAAAATTGGTTTATTAGGTTCTAAAATAAAAAAAAAAATCTATAAGGACCATTGATAGAACAGGTCTTTTGAAAGACCTTCAATAGTTCGCATATTGTAACAAATCAAAAAAAAAAAATTCATTAAAGTGAGGAAAGGGTTACCTGAATGATTTAGAAAAGCAAGTCATGTTCAATGAAGGAGAAGTAAAATCTATCTGTGGGCCAAGGTAGAGATTATATTAGATAAGGCCTCCTACTCGGTATAAACCTCTAACCAAAATAGGTGCATTATTTGAATTTTAAAATTCAAATAAAAAAAAAGGATTTTGAAATACATATAAATTTCATGGAGATAATCTATTTTTCGAGTGTCATACGTGATTTTGAAATTCACATACGACACTCGAGGGGCAACTGTTAAACGAAAAAAATTCAGTACTCGTCAATTTTCGATGCTAAATTTTATTTTAAAAAATCAATGATGGATTCATGTTCGACGCATGGTTCCATAGAATAATTAATCGTTAACTTGACTCGTCAAGTTCAATTGTTAAAATTCACATTTTAATTTAACCCATTAAAATTCATCCTTATGATTTTTTATTTTTTATTTTAAAAAAAAAGTGTATGTTGTAAAAAAAATAAAAATAAAAAGCCGAGAATTTAACGGTTGGCAGTTCCCAAACTCCCCACTACATCAATTAAGAGGAAGTGGACAAAGTGGGGGTTCCTAAAAAGATTGCCAGCTGCCCCCTCTTTTTGCATGCAAAAGACTATTATAAATACACTTGATCTTGAGATCAAGAAGGTGGAGAAATCTGGAGAGTTTCAGACGGTGAATAAAGCAAGAGAGAGAAGAAAAAAAAAAAGAAAGAAGAAAAGAGAAAAGCTAGGAGTGTTTCCAGACGGTTAACAAATGAAAGGACAAAAAAGGAAGAAGAGATGAGGTCGGCAAGAGGAAAGAAGTCTCTATATTTTATCTTCTTTGCTGACGACTCTCTATTTTTCCTCAAAGCTAAGGAGAGGGGAGTAATGGAATTATTGAGGATATTGCATAAATGTTGCATGACGTTGGGGCAATATGCCAATTACTAGAAGTCTGGGATTATTTTCTCCAGTAATACATTTGAGGAGTAAAAGACTTTCTTTTGCCATCTCCTGGGCATACTGGCTCTCCTACATTGTACAAAATATCTGGGAATCCCTATTACTTGGGAAAGATCAAGGAACGAAGTGTTTGGGTACCTTTTTGAGAGAGTTACGAAGAGATTACAGGGATGGAAGAGTTGTTGTCTCTCACAGGCTGAGAAGGAGATACTGATCAAAGCAGTAATCCATGCCATTTCAAATTATGTCATGTCAGTAGTGGAGTTCTCAAGTAATTTTTGTGTGAAGATCAATTCCTATGTAAGAAGCTTTTGGTGGGGAGGATGTGAAGATAGAAAGGGTATCTACTAGAGGAAATGGGAGAAGATGACTGAACCAAAGTCTGTTGGAGGGATGGGCTTTAAAATTTTCAAGTTGTTTAATCAAGCTCTCTTGGCAAAGCAGTGTTGGAGACTCATCCATCAACCAAAGTCTTTCTGGGCAAAATTCATAAAGGCGATTTACTTTCCAAACGATAACCTGATGCAAGCAAAACGAGGTGCGAGACCCTTCTGGTTTTGGACCAGCTTGCTCTACAGCAAGGAGCTTCTCGAAAAAGGTCTGATGTGGCAAATTGGTGATGGCAGTGGGGTGTGTTTTTGGAATGATAAATGGATTCTCCAACTCCCCAATTTGATTGTTCAATCCCCAAGGCCTTAGGTATGCTCTATTATAAAGGTTGCAGACATTATTAGTGCTTTCCCCAAAAGCTGGAACATCCCTAGTCTGGAAAATGTAATCTCAAGGAGTGAATTGAAAGTAATCTAGGCTATCCCTTTGCCATTGAATGGGGGGAAAGATAAAAGAATTTGTTGGCCCACATGTAAAGGTATCTATACTGTTAGGTTTGGGAATATGGTGGGAAGCAAGGAGGCCTTTAATCTGTCGGAGGTTAGTTATTCCGTGTCTCTTCATCCCAAATTGTGACAGTCTATTTGGAATATGAAGGCAATTCCTAAAGGTAAGCACTTCTGGTGGAAAACTTGCCATAACATCCTTGCCACACATGAGAATCTGTTTAGAAAGAAGTGTGCTGCAACGCCTATTTGCCAGATCTGCAAGTTGACAACAAAGTCAATTGAGCATATCTTATTTGAATGCGGATAGACCAGGAGGGTCTGGTTTGGTATGGACCCTGCTTTGCAGGAGAACGACTTAGCTTTCTTGTCTGTGGCCCAAAGATCCACTGCCATCTTCTGTTGGTAAAAGATGCACAAAGTAGACTTGAGTTACTGGGGAAGATGGCCACAGTGGGTTGGATAATTTGGAAGGCAAGAAACAAACTCATTTTCAATAAAGAAGAGGTGAATACCTATGCCACAGTGCTACAAGTCAAGGCTACGTGGGGAGACTAGCTCAAAATCGATGAAATGGGATCACCAGAAGGTCAGCAGGAGTTGGAGGCAAGAAAGACAACTCCACATGAGACTAAGGAGGAATATCGCATTTTTTGTGATGGTGCCTTCAAATCTGAAGTGTCAAAGGCAGCATATGGAATTGTTCTTTGCAAGAGCAGAGATATTTTGGAATTTGGTATAGCCAAGGCCTTCCTTGCTGCATCATCTCTATTGACGGAGGCTGAGGCAGTAAGGCAGGCTTGACTACTCGTTGAAGCCTAACTGATCACTCAGACGACTATTGTTAATGAATGTCTTAACATTATTAAGTTAAACTCCAACGAGGATGTGCCCCCGTGGAAAATTAGTGTAATTATAAAGGATATTAGATATTATGCTAGGTCATATAGCTTTAACTTTTTACACAAGTCAAGGACATATAACAAGGTTGCTCACTAGGTGACGGCCAACAAGTTAAACAACTCTCTTCCAACGGATTGATTAGGGTCTCCCCTTCCTGAGTTTACGATTTTTCTTGTGATTGATTGTAACTTAATTTTCTTATTTAATAAAATGATTATCTTGTTTGTTATAATAAAAAAATAATAATAATACCAGAATCAACTCCTTTTATTTTTCAAGCTTAAAAGTTGGGCCGGCACTAGAATCATCCTGTCTTTGTCCCCTCCTCGCCCGACCGTCTCTCTGTGTTTTGTTCACCATTGCATATCAACCGGGCTGGCATTCGTCACACAGCTCAAGCTCAAGCTCATTTATCAGGTAAATCCGCCATTGCGGAAAGTTCAATCATAAAAACACAAACGTTCAAGATGTTCAGGCCAATTCAATTGTAAATTTTTTTAGAGTCTACTTTGAGGGCCGTCTCGAACTTGCCGCACCCAATAAAAAAAATTGTAAAATTAATTATAATTTTTTTTAAAAATAAGAATTACAGGATGTGATTAAGTACTCCATTTTTAATCAAAAACTCACTATATTTTAGAAGTGTCAAAAATTGGCCACACGAAAGTACACCGTTTGTGGGGTTTGGACCTAAATAAACCGTAAACTTGAATGTCAAAAATTCAAACCTCGTTGGTATTTCTTGAACTAAAAATTTAACCTTGTAAAAAAAAAGAGTAAAAAAGAGAGCCACAACTCATTGATCCATAGTGCTGGTCCATCATTCTTGTATTCCCAAAGTATTTTCATATGGGATAATCCCATATTCGAACAATCACAAAGAAGTCAGGAATTCAACTCTCGTTAGTGTTTTTTAAAATAAAAATTTAACCTTTTTTAAAAAAAGAGTATAAAAGAGGGCCGCACCTCATTGATCCATAGATGAAGTGCCGGTACATCATTCTTCTATTCCCAAAGTATTTCTATATGGGATAATCCCATATCCGAACAATCGCGAAGAAATCAATCCAAAAAAAGACACTTCTATTTGGATTCTTATTATGTTTGATTCGGAAGCATACAATTGCCAACCATAACCAATCACATGAATTATTTAACCCATTTTAAATGAAATACAAGAAGATTAATACTTAGTGCTTTTTCAAGTGATTATATATATCTCACTTCTACTCTTGTAAATTAGTCCAAATGACTCTACCTTAAAGAGATTTTTTGTTACCAAAAAAAGAAAAAAGAATGGATGCATGGTTGCAAGTTAATTTAATCTATATATTAAGAAAAAAAAAAGATTTTGGGTATTTATTATTTATTTTTAATCGTGAAAGAATTTGGTTGACAATAATCCCATTGCAAGATTAGACTGTCAAACAACTGTTTGAAGCTTAACAACAATTACAATTCTATGGACTTTGGCCAATGGTAATTAAAACTTTGGAAATGTCATTCTAGCCACCCCATTTTTTCAGTCTAGTTTGACCTTTGAAGTCTTCATTGACTACTTATCTAAAATCAAAATGTTAGAAAAACTTCATTCTTTTCCTATTATTGTATTGCATTTATGATTATACTTTTTTTATCCTTAAAGTACCACTCAATTTTCAGTTTGCTATTTTAATTATTTTGTATTAAATTTTATTTTTCATCCCTTGTCATAGTGTCAATTTTAGTCCAAAAAATAAGAGAGTCATGGAAAAATAAATGCGACGTCTTTTCAAGATGAAGTGTCACACTTGATTCATATTTGTCATTTTTATGTCGATATTTAGAAGTTAGTTATTTCCCTCCTCAAACTCTTAAAGTTTGCTAAATTTTGTATTTTATATTATAAGTTATAAAATACGGTAAAATAAATCACTCAAAATATCATCATTAAACAACCATAAAAGTGTATTTTAGAGTTAAAATACTTGGAGAACGAGTTTACGATTATCACCCAAAAAAAAGAAAAAACAAAAGCACAGAAAAAAAAAAAGGAAAGAAAACAAAAGCACAAAGCTTTACAGAAGGGGAACTATGGTTTTCATTTGAAAAAATGAAAAGGAAAGGAAAAAAAAGAGAGTCTTTTTCCTAATTTTTAATTAGATAATCTATAGGGGACGGCAGAGGTAAATTAACTAGAAAAATGGGGTCCTGGTATGAAATCAAAAACTTCATAAACGCGTAGTATGAAACTGGCAATGACGTGACGTTCAGTCTTCTTCTCACGCGGCGTCTCCTAGTCTTCCTCCGTTACCTATCTCCCCCGTTACGCCCACTCAGCACACGCTCTCTCTCTCTCTCTCTCTCACACACACACACACTCACACACGTATAAGCCTCAAAGCCATTGCAAAAAACACAACCAATTACCTTACCGTTTACACTGTCACCATTTTCACAGGCAGATATAGAGAGAAGATCGAAGATGTTACGATCGTGTTGCCGACCGTTGGAGAGATGTTTTGGGAGGCGGAGCGGTGACGGACTGTTTTGGCACATGGATTTGAAGCCTCACGCTTCCGGAGACTTCTCGATCGCCGTCGTTCAAGCCAATTCGAGCCTCGAAGACCAGAGTCAGGTCTTTACATCGCCGTCGGCTACGTATGTCGGAGTCTACGATGGCCATGGTGGCCCCGAAGCTTCTCGCTTCGTCAACAAACACCTATTCTCTTATTTACAAAGTAATAATACTTTCTCGCTCTGTAAAGTTTAAACCCTAGCATATCACGTACAGATGTGATATGAAGTTTTTAAATTTGCTCTCTGTGCGAATTGTTTCCTTGCCGATCATGAATTTTCGAAACTGAAAACGTTTATCTCTTTGTTCACACTCTCTTCGTGTATGTGATATTTTCCCTCTGTTTAATGCTTGCTACAATTTTTTACGAATTTAGGAATTTTCAAAATGTTTCTCGCTGACGTTATTGATTAAGCTATTTACCTGTGTGTTTGCGTGTGATTTTTTCTCCCCTAAACATGTTGGCCAACGTAAACTACTGTATTATCTAGTGTTCTCCCTTTTTTGTTTTAAGGAATCAAGTGTTTTTTATATCTTTTCTGTGAAAAATGAAAGATGGTTCGTTTCTATGATCACCGTCCCTCCAACTGAAATTTGTAATCCAATATGTTGTAGAATTTTCTACGGAATACGGGGGAATGTCTGCAGATGTGATAAAGAAGGCATTTAATGCGACAGAAGAGGATTTTGTCCATCTAGTGAAGCAATCATTGCCGCTTAGACCTCAGATTGCTTCGGTTGGATCGTGTTGTCTTGTAGGTGCAATCTCGGATGGTGAATTGTTTGTGGCCAATCTAGGAGACTCGAGGGCTGTTCTTGGTCGGAGAGATTTGGAGGACCCAAAGAGTACAGTGGTGGCGGAACGCTTGTCCACGGATCATAATGTCTCATGTGAGGAGGTCAGGAAGGAGGTGGAGTCACTTCATCCCGACGATTCGGCTGTTGTGGTCTATTGCCGTGGAGTATGGAGAATTAAAGGCATAATTCAGGTAGATTTTTCTTCTTATTGCTCTGTTTTTCTTGGTCCCTTTCTTGGTGTTTGATCAATCTACTGTATGTTGATCGGCTTAGATTTAGTAGTTGTCAGGAAAAAGAAAGATATATGTCTAAAATTTGTTGTTAAGTCTTTAACCATTTGCAGTTTGACTAAATGTATTGTTAAGTCTTAAAATTAAATGTTCTGTTATCTAGTTATATTCCATGCTCTTATCTTGACATATTCCTTTTGCTTTATGAAAAGAGGTTTACCTTGCATCGTATACAAAGCAAAATCAGCTGCATAGACCTCATTTATTATGGTGGCTTGTTCTGCATATTGCTTTTCCTGTGTCTCTTGCCTTTTGCTCTATGAGAGGCAACATCATAAATGGTAGTTAAGTTTGTTCTAAAGGGGTTCCCTACTCTTCCAGGAATCACATGCTCTGCCCCTTGGTGCACCGTCTCATGCAGCTGAAGTTAAGAGTAGCATGTGTTCCATGCATGAGATATACATGAAGATTTCATAAAGCAAAATGTTGTGATTCTATTGAAATTTTATTCCTCTTTACATCTTGGCCATCCGGAAGACCCTTATGGCTATAAATTCACATGATGCTCATGTGACTTCTAAGATCTTATTTTTGTTTCCTTCCATACACTTTGAGGTAGGCATGATGTTCTGTTATGGATCAAAGTGTATGTATGCCTTTTCCCGCTGTAACTTTTCCCCCCCTTCTTTTAGCATATGTCCATGTAGAAAACATTTTTTAAAGATGCTAATTTGAACATTTTACTCTTTTCAGGTGTCAAGATCTATTGGTGACGTCTATTTGAAGAAACCTGAGTTTAATAGAGACCCAATTTTGCAGCAATTTGGAAACCTTGTCCCATTGAAAAGGCCTGTTTTGTCAGCAGAGCCCTCGATCATTAAAAGAAAGCTTAAGCCACAGGACTTATTCTTGATATTTGCCTCAGATGGGCTATGGGAACATTTGAGTGATGAAACAGCAGTGCAGATAGTATTGAAGAACCCAAGAGCTGTAAGTGCCCAGACTTTTATAGACATTATTATTTTATGGCATAGTAGCAATCTTGCTTGCATTTGCCAGTTTCAAGTTTGTTTTCAGTGAAGCAGCTAGCTTGATTGAATACCTCTTTTGCAATTGATCCCACACTTTGTTGCCATTAATTCATCCTGAACTCTTGGAATGGATTGGTCAGATTTTAATTTCATGCTTGTAATTAAATTATTTCATCACCAAAGTAAACACTGTAGAAATTGAGTAGAAGTTCTGATTGAAACCCCCAATCCTGCCACAATCTATATCTGATCAAAAATCCAGTTGATTGAGTAAGAGAAACATGATTCAAAAGATCATACCAAATGTTAGAAGATTGCTCCTTGTATGTGTAGTTTTTATTTGCCATTTGTCAAAATTCCCCTTGGCAATAAGCATAACTCGCTGCTTGTGACTTGTGAAATACTTGCAGGGAATAGCCAAGAGATTGGTAGGAGCTGCCCTTGGGGAGGCTGCAAAGAAGAGGGAGTTGAGATACGCCGACATAGTGAAAATCGAGAAGGGAATTAGGCGTCATTTCCATGATGACATTACTGTGATAGTGATCTATCTTGATCATCACAAAGGCCGCCCCACCAATCGGAAATCTAAGCAAGGAACTCCCGGCGGCATTACTGCTCCTGTCGACATCTTTTCATATAATTCAAATGAAATCGTGGAAAATCCATATGATTAAGAGTTTATAGAACCCGATGGATGGTCGCATACTGACAGAATTATGAGTAGAGTTTAGATGATAATTCACATACACAACTAGGTCTGTTATGTTGAACAGAAAAGGATTTTTTGTGGTGAATACAGGAACGGTGTAGATATTGCCTAGTGGGATGCTCACAAGCACATGGCTATTGGGTTTTTCGTGTGAAGTTATGACTGCCTATTCCTTTGTTCTTTTGTTATTGATTTTACTTGGTGATCAACAGAAATCTCTCTCTCTCTCTCTCTCTCACACACACACATTATTTGCCAAACTCCTCCTCAAGATGGAAAATTTCGAAAATTAAGTTTTACGACTCTTAAGTGAAGTAATGACATGGACGAGGCACGGACAAAGTTTCATTTCAGCACTTTCATGCGGGAACACTGGAAATCAAAATTCAAGAAAATTGAAATAAATTAAATAACTTTAGAAATATTCATGTTTCTGGGAGGTAACTTTGACTCGACCACACAGTTTGACTCGACCGCTCAGTTTGACTCCACCANGGACAAAGGTTCATTTCAGCACTTTCATGCGGGAACACTGGAAATCAAAATTCAAGAAAATTGAAATAAATTAAATAACTTTAGAAATATTCATGTTTCTGGGAGGTAACTTTGACTTGACCAAACAGTTTGACTCGACCGCACAGTTTGACTCCACCTATCAGTGATGCCCTTATTTTCCAAGTGGAGCCCGCTGATTGGCCTTCTTGGGCGGTAGATAGGGTATCCATTTGTCATGTTTTTAATTGGTCCAAGGGGTTTGCACTAGATTTGTCTCTCTGATTGAACCCGACGACTGACCGGAGCTATTTGGGGTCGCTCGTGGTCAACACTTGGATGATACCCTACTCGGGGCTTACCCTGATTAGTTCATACATGGGGTCCCCTCTGTGTTCTAGTCTACGTGGGTGGGTGACTAAGGTGACAATCTTCACCAAATATCTCATCAACTGAAAAACTCCTATCAGTGTATCATATGAATGAAAATAGGGGGCAGGGTGAATCTATCTACGCGGTATCACTCCTCGTAGACTTTTTCATATCTTGTGCTAGGGAGAAATGTGCATCTGGGCGACATGCCTGCAGCGCCTGTTGGAAGAAAATTGGGCTCTTAAGCCAACATGTTAAATAGGGTCATTAACAATTTAATATACTATAATATGATCTATTTTATTTTTTTATATCATTTTTACTCTTATTTGTTTCACTTTTAAATAACTTAATGCTCATTGCANGTTTAAAGGGGCATTCAATGGAGAGAGAGAGAGAGATTGATTTTTGTGCAATAAATTAATGAAGAGAGGGGGTATGCATTCAATTAAATTTTCTAATTTATTTTGGCGGACTTTTTTCTATTATTATACCAGATTACATGTGCTAATTTATCATATTATGGGGCCTTTGAAATTGGGGGCCCTAAGCTGCTGCCCCAATGGCTTTGTCATTGGGCCGGCCCTGCATGCCTGTTAACCGAGTAAATATTAAATGCAATAATTAGGTCACATCAAATTATTATGCCAATATTATTATATAATTAACAATTCAATAGAAAAATAATAAAATTAATAAAATATAACCCATTACATGAGTGGTTATGAATATTTGTGAAACTCACTTAGAAACTTTTTCACTTATCACTAGACGACTATAGGGGTAGCTCAAGATAATTTGGAGTTAAAAACGATATTTCTAAATAAGGTCTTTTATGTTTATTGTTAATATTTTTTATTTAAAATTAATTTTTCTTATTTTTTGAGTTACAAAAGTATTAATTAAGGTTTTTTATTAAAATTTTGCTATCATATCTTTTTTAATTGATAATATCGTTAATCCAGTTAATCTTTCTTGTGACATAGTTGATCTTAAGTAAGATTTTATCAATTTTAATTTTGAAAAGTTCCTTTCAACAGAAACAAACTGTTACAAGAATTGTTAATAATTTTTTATAAGCAATGCATGCATTTGGAAAAAAATCTAACTTTTTTATATAATTTAATATATTAATTGGAGTATTTTCTTTCGTTTGTAAAGCGGTATTTCGTTTTTATCTAATTTTGCCAATATTTTTTCTCTCTATTAATTTGTTTNATGCATTTGGAAAAAAATCTAACTTTTTTATATAATTTAATATATTAATTGGAGTATTTTCTTTCGTTTGTAAAGCGGTATTTCGTTTTTATCTAATTTTGCCAATATTTTTTCTCTCTATTAATTTGTTTTTGGATACTTTTATCAATTGTTTTATTTAGTTGCAATCTTGTTTCTAATTTAATCCAAGTATTCATATTAGTTATATGCTCATTAGTTATTTCTTGGTTTTTAAGCTTAACACCAATATTTCTCCAATCTTTTGTTCATTCATTAGTTAGTTTACTTGTAAAATAATTCATATTTAATAATTTGCAACAAACACAAAATACTTTATCCAAATCTTTTGAATATACTAGCCATCTTCTATCAAGTGTTTCCCCATTTGTTAATTTGCGAATATAATGTGTAATAGAAAAATGTCTAGAGTGTTTATCCCTAGGAAAATCTAAGTTATTATATATAATTGGACCTTTTTCTACTAATAAATCTCTTAATTTTGTATTAATATTTTTTCATTGACTTGAATCATAAATATTTATATAATCATAATCAGTTGTTTCATTAAGATTTTGATTGTCTTCTATTTCATTATCTTTTATTTCACTATTTTCTTTTTCAATATTTTCTATTTCATTATCCTCTATTTTATTATCTTTTATTTCAATATTTTCTACTTCAATATTTTTTATTTTATTATCTTTTTATTTTAATATTTTTTATTTCAGTATTTTTTATTTTATTCTCTTTTATTTCATTATCTACTTGTTCATTTTTAAAATTTGTATCTAAATTTTTTGTTATTTTATTTTTGTTACTAGTAACAAATTTATCAAGAGGTCCTTTTTGAGATTCTATTAGTTGATCTATTTTTTTTTTTTTAAATTTATCGTATCCACTTGGTTGTCTTTTAGGTGCCATATTATTAATATATTATAACTATAAAACAATCAAACAAACACAATATATAGTATAGTTAAAAATATATAAGAAAAATATTTAAAATTATGAAATAATAGAATCTAACTTGAATGATCTCAAATGTTAGTTTTTTGGTTCTAAACCATGTCCCTTATGTTGCAATGAAAACTCGAGTTGATGATGGAGGATGGAGTGGAGGCCGAGTCACCATCACCGAGTCAATCACCTGAGTGATCTGTGAGTTCTCTGTAGCTCTGCTGTAGCACTTGGCAAAAAAAAAAAATTTATCTGAGTAACAAGTTATGTGACTGTGAGTTCTCAAGTCATGAGGCATTGTGAGAGAGAGAAAGAAAAAAAATAAATTTATGTATAGTTGATTTGGTTGGTTTAGAAGGAGAGAGAGAGAGATAAAGTGTTAAAAAGTAGATATGATTTGACTTTTAAATTATTTTGGTGGCTTTTTGATATGATCATTCAGTTTTTTTTTTTTATTTTTTACATTGTTAATTTTTTTTAGATACTTAATGTTTGGATTGAATTATAGGCCTAAAATAATTGTTGGGCTTATATTTTTATATGGTTTTTTTTTTTTACATAGGTTATTTACAATATTTAAAAAATTTGGACTTTTTTTGAAATGGGGCCTAAAGCCTAGACTTTTTTACACCTATTGTTGGGCCGGCCTGGACGATTATACCACGTAATACTATTGACGTAATAACTCTCGCACCAAATATTTTGTCAGTCAAATAATGTCCCTTAATTTTTTTTATGACTAAATGTTTTTAACGAAATTCAAATCGTGACAGTCACTTCTTAGTAGATTTATTTTATTTTTATCATAAATATTATATATAATGGTTATACTGTGTCAGATGTGGTGTAATTACTTAATAAAATAATTATAAAATAGATAAAATAGAGTTTATTTTTTATTATAAAAGTGATTATGTAGTATATGACTGAGTGATTATAAATTTTTGTAAGACTCATTTATAGACTCATAAATATATTTGTATTCATATTAAAAATTAAATTACAAATATAAATGAAAGATAAATAAATTTAACCATCGGCTGTAGTGAGAGTGAGAGGTGGTGGGTGGTAGGGGTGGTGATACGAGACGGTGATGGTTGTGGTGAGTGACAATAACTGTGGTGGTGACGATGACGGTGGCGATGGCGATGACAGTGGTGGTGGCAGTGACGACAGTGATGGTGGTGGAGGCGGCGACAGTAGCGGTAATAGAGATAGTGGCGGTGGTAGTGTTAAAGGTAGTGGTGAGACGGTTTCAAACACTATATTTAAAAAAAAAATATTTATAAAAAATAATTATTATATGTACTTTTAAAAAGTCACTCCAAATACACCCTTAGGGGTTTATTTTTTCTATTAAATTTAGAGTGTTAATATTAGTCGTTAGATTAATTTTAAAGTAAAACTTAAAACGATCTAATCCGCGAATAGTAAAAATTATTTTATTTATTTTTGAGTTTTAAATTATAAGTTACTTTATTATATAAATTTATTCGTTCGTAAATAATTAAACTACGAGACACTGCTCACGTGCTGCGACGATTACTCTCAATATTCCGTCTCAGTTATTTTGAGAAGCAGAGCGCCACAGGACGAATTCAAAGGAGAAAGAATACGGAATAGTCGCATTGAGGTCTCGCTACCAGACTGAGAGGGTTAGGGTTTTGAAATCCAAAATTTGAAGAGCACGACGTAGTGACAAGGCGACATGTAGTTTGGTTGCTGAATCGGTGTGGAAAGACATCGAGTCGACTCGTTCAGGTCCTTCTCTCTTTTCGATTCAACAATCATTATTTTTCACCATTCAGATATTGATTTTTCCCATTTTGCTGTGAACTGGTGGCGCTGATGGCGATGAATTGCAACCCACAGTGACCGATGATCAGAGCTCAATGTCAGTATTTATGATCTTCTCTCAATTCAATTTTATATACGATATTCATCTGTATATGTGTGTTCGGACTAATTGATGCGTTTNAATATTATATATAATGGTTATACTGTGTCAGATGTGGTGTAATTACTTAATAAAATAATTATAAAATAGATAAAATAGAGTTTATTTTTTATTATAAAAGTGATTATGTAGTATATGACTGAGTGATTATAAATTTTTGTAAGACTCATT